TCTCTCTCTCTCTCTCTCTCTCTCTCTCTCTCTCTCTCTCTCTCTCTCTCTCTCTCTCTCTCTCTCTCTCTCTCTCTCTCTCTCTCTCATCTACCCACGGCGAGGGTTATCTTTATGTGCCGGTGCACGTGGATCTGGAGTGAAGCCGACGTAACCATCGTTTTGCGGGTTAGGCCACCTCATACGCATCGCCTCCTCGAATTCTGCCGGCAGTCTCTGACGGCGGGTGTAACCGCAGAGGTTCGCGAACTCCTTGTACCCTGCGAATCTGTTAGCCGCCGCGTCCAGTCGATCGTTTCCCACTAGGATGTGCAAGAACTAGTCGTTGCGGTCCTCCTCGCCGACAATTTGTACCGCTGTTTCTTCCAAAAACGCAGGATGCGGCCATGCCGCTCGTATTTCATCCCCGTTCATTTGCGGGGGAGGAGGTGGTGGGCGACGTGCCGCGATGACTGCTGGCCCAAGGCCGGGGCCCCCTCGACCGCGCACAGCTCTACGTCATGGTCGACGGTCGTACACCATGTCCCCATCATCTTCGTTGTTGGGTGCTTGAGGTTGTGCCTGCTCCATTATACTGTCGCGTCGTGAGTATCTGCAACAGATGTGGTAGAAGTTAGAGTCTGTGCGTGAAACATAGGGAAATAAATATCCAAAACAATCTTCTCCATTTCAGACAGAGTATGGCGGACAAACGACAAGCCTCCACACACCGTCTTGCACAACGGCTTTGACATTAGAACTCTATCATTGTCGAGGTTGTTATCTCCGACCAATACGCTTCCACCTAGATCCACGAGTCCAAGTTCGAGGGCCCGGGACAACAACCAAACTGTTTTTGCTTCTTCGACTTTTGAGAATTTCGTCCTTCACAGCCAGCAGAGTTATGATCCTCGTCAAGACCCGAACCCCGACACGACACGGAAACATACGACTCAGAGTTGTCCCGGGATGTACTGACCGAATCGGGCGTCTGGGTCGTGCTTCCTGATAGAGAGGCAGCAGCTCGTGGCAAAGAGAAACCGAGTTGGACTTCAGTGCCGCCATGAATGTCGCGGCCCGAGAAAAGGAACGAAGTCAAAGGGTTAGGGGGATCGACACGAGGCTTGCCCTCCTCGCGCAGCAGACGTTGCTCACGGATTGTGCAAAAAGTCTCCCGATTATCCAATTCTTGTTTTTTTTTCCGCAAGGACGACACAATTTTTTGCACCCGGGAATACGATGTCGACAACACTTCACGTGCGTTGCTCAAGTCGTTTGTGACCATCTCTATATGTTTATCTATCTCGTCGAGGTCATATTTGTCTTCATTGCCTGCTGGATGTGACTGGTCGAGGCCGTCCGTCAGTGGTTGTGGCAGACGGCGCAGACGGTCACGGAGCGAAAACTTTTTTCGGTCATCATGAGGATTCATGACACGCCCACAAAATGAGCGACGTGATATCTGGAAACACAAAACAAGAAACAAGAGTCGTGAACACATCACACATTATGGGTCGAGGATGACGTCGTGCACCGCTCATGCACGGTATATATATATATATAGGGTCACCAGCCCGTACGTACGGAGGTCACCGGGCACACCTTTGTGTGTACGGTCGTTCGGGGTCCCGCACGGGGTCCGAGCCCGACGTCGTTCGGGGTCCCGCACGGGGTCCGAGCCCGACGTCGTTCGGCCCCCGCCAAACATATTTCGGGGCCTAAAATTAATTAGTTTTTTCGAATTTTTTTCTTGTGAGTTCTTTATGACGTGAGGTACATGCCTGTATTTTTTTTATTTTATTTTTTTTTTTTTGGGGTCCGCGTTCGGCCCGAACAATCCACTGTAATCTCGAAGGGGTCCCGTACGTTCGGGCGTTCGTGTTCCGGCGTTTGCCATGTCCCAATAGCTACCACTCATGTTTTTCATTTTTTTTTTCATCTCATCACGGAGTGATTACATTTCGTACAAAAATATATATACGCTCATGTTTTTCATTTTTTTTTATGCCATCGCGGAATGTTTACATTTCGTGCTCGATCTTATCCTGTTATATATTTATATATATATATATATATATATATATATATATATATATATATATATA